AACATCTTTCTGGTATTCCCTTCCTTGAGCCAAGATCCATCTGACAACAGCTATGATATCCCTTGTTCCATGTCCTCTTCTGAATCCAGCTTGAACCTCTGGAAGTTCTCTATCAATATACTACTGCAAACGTTTCTGAATTATCTTCAGTAAGATCTTACTTGCATGTGATATTAATGATATTGTTCTATAATTTCTACATTCTGCGGGATCACCTTTCTTTGGAATGGGCACAAATATGGATCTCTTCCAGTCAGTTGGCCAGGTAGCTGTCCTCCAAATCTCTTGGCGTAACTGAGTGAGTGCCTCCAATGGGGCATCTGTTTGTTGAAATATCTCAATCGGTATGCCATCAATTCCTGGAGCCTTGTTCTTCGCCAGTTCTTTCATTGCAGCTTTGACTTCTTCCTTCATTACCATTGGTTCTAGATCATATGCCACTTCTTGAAATGGATGAAGATCGATCAGTTCTTTTTGGTACAGTGACTGTGTATTCCTGCCATCTTCTCTTGATGTTTCCTGCATCATTCAATATTTTGCCCATAGAATCTCTCAATATTGCAACTGAAGGCTTACATTTTTTCTTCAGTTCTTTCAGTTTGAGAAATGCTGAGCGTGTTCTTCCTTTTTGGTTTTCAGACTCCAGGTCTTTGCACATTTCATTATAGTCATTGGCTTTGTCTACTCGAGCTGCTCTTTGAAATCTTCTGTTCAGCTCTTTTACCTTTTCATTTCTTCCATTTGCTTTAGCGATTCTCCGCTCAAGGGCAAGGTTCAGAGTCTCTTCTGTCATCCACTTTGGTCTTCTCTTCTTTTCTTGTTTTTTTAGTGATCTCTTGCTTTCTTCATGGATAATGTTCTTGATATCTTCCCATAATTCATCTGCCTTTCGGTCATTGGTGTTCAATGCATCAAATCTATTTTTTAGATGATCTCTAAATTCAGGAGGGATATATTCAAGATCATATTTTGGCTCTCGTGGACTTGTTTTAATTGTCTTTAACTTCAAGTGGAATTTGCATATGAGCAGTTGATGGTCTGTTCCACAATCAGCTCCTGGCCTGGTTTTGGCTGAAGATATTGAGCTTTTCCACCGCCTCTTGCCACAGATGTAGTCAATCTGATTCCTGTGTGTTCCATCTGGTGAAGTCCACGTGGACAGCCTCCGTTTGTGTTGTTGAAAAAAGGTGTTTGCAATGAACAAGTCATTGGTCTTGCAAAATTCTACCATACGAGTTCCAGCATTATTCCTGTCACCAAGGCCAAATTTTCTAACTACCGGTGATTCTTCTTTGTTTCCCAACTTTTACATTCCAGTCACCAGTGATAATTAACACATCCTGATTGCATGTTTGGTCAATTTCAGACTGTAGAAGCTGATAAAATTCTTCAATTTCCTCATCTGTGGCTTTGGTGGTTGGGGCATAAATTTGAATAACAGTCATATTAATGGGTCTTCCTTGTAGTCGTATGGATATTATCCTATCACTGACAGCATTGTACTTCAGGACAGATCTTGAAACCTCCTTTGTGATGATGAATGCCACACCATTCCTTTTCAAACTGTCATTCCCGGCATAGTAGATCATATGGTTGTCTGATTCAAAATGGCCAAAACCAGTCCATTTCAGCTCACTAATGCCGAGGATATCAAACTTTATGCGTTCCATTTCCTTTTAGACAACTTCCAATTTTCCTAGATTCATACTTCGTACATTCCATGTTCCGATGATTAATGGATGTCGGCGGCTGTTTCTCTGAACACTCCCGAGAGGATTCAAAAGATTAAATAGGTATACCTTAATGTCTGATACTTAAATTTAACATACAAAAAACAAAACAAGAATTTTAAAGTTGCAACAGTCAAAATTTTCCAAATAATGAGTCAATCGTCTTATTTATGTAGGTACAACCTGGCTCTGTTATTAGCAAGTTGTTCCTTATTCTGCCACTCAAAAATTTAAAAATTCAAATAATATAACATTGTAAACTAAAGATTGGGCCCCAGTTTTCAACTTCAGCCATCTTTATTTAAATATCAAGATTTTTTTTAACTTTCTTTTCTGAAATAATTATAAATTCATAGGAAGTTGCAAAAGAAAAAAAAAATGTAGAAAGGTCCCAAAATACATTTTATCACGTTTAAATTCATATAATCATAATCAAGATATGGAATTAGTCCATCCCACAAAACACTCTCTCTTGGTATTCATTTATGGGCATACTTATCCCCTTCCAGTCCCAATCCCAAACTTTGGCAACCACTAATCTGTTGTACATTTCTATAATGAGTTATCTGAAGAATTAAATAAATGAAGTAAAATAATATGTAATCTTCAGGTTTGGATTTTTCTTTACTCTCCGATAATGCTCTGAAAAGAGTTCCTTTTTATTGCTGGTTAGTATTCCATGATATGGATGTACCACATATCTTTAATCATTCACCTACAAAATGACAAATGAGCTCTTTCCACTTTCAGACTATTACAAATAAAACTCTCACTGCCGTCAAGTCGGATCTCACTCATAGTGACCCCTCCTTGGCTCCTAGTACAAATAAAATGGCTATAAATATATGTGTATAGGTTTTAATATGAACATGTTTTCTTTTTTTCTGGGACAAATGCCTAAAAATGTAATTGTTGAGTTGTATGGTTAAATACCAATTTTAATATCAATATTGGAAACATTTCTGCAAAAATGAAGATCACCTTCAATCTTCACCCTCTAATGACTTAGTCTTTCTAATTTAACTAAATTCCTTTTTAAAACTAGTATTTCCTCAACCCTTAGGCTAATGGGCCTGTACTTAGTATTTTAAATACATTATCCTATGTGATTCCTGAATCAACGATGACCTAAGTACTAGAAATATTCCCATTTTACAACAAAAGAAACAGATATATAAGAGGTTCTTAGCCAAAAGGGTAGGATGCGAAGGAGCTGGGATGTTAAGCATTAGGTAAATTCAGTGAATATTTTTTCCATGCTATAGCCCATCTATCCTACTACCAGAGCCCACAGAGACACATGTGTCCCATATAACGTTTACAAAATCCAAAAATTATAAAACAGTCAATGATTCAGCATGCACTGTAATAGTGAGTAAACATCACAGCTACAAAAATCTTACAAACAAAAAAATAATTCAGTAATGAAAGAGTTAAAATTAGGCATGCTCTCTAATTCCTTACACTTCACAAATAATCAGAATTGATCTAAAAGCCTACTATTATTTTCACAAATATTGTATATGTTAACAACAGAGAAAAGTTCAAATAAAATGATTGTTCAATTCTTCCCTGCAAAGTTTTCTTCAGTTTTACCCTTCATTACTCTTGTGGTCAATAGGAAACCTGGAGCCAGATGAAGAGCAATTAGGAGAAGCAAAACCAGAGAAGGCAAAAACATGAATAAATACAACAAAAAAAAAAAAGAGAGAGAAGAGAAGGAAAAGAAAAGGAAAAAAAGGGTAAAGGGCAGTGAGAGAAGAGATGAGAGAAAAAAGAAGTAAGTAAAAGGTAAAGAGAAAGAAGGAGTATATGACTTAAAAATCCCTAGCACCCAAGCAACCAAAGTAGCAGGGATTTAAATGGAAGACATATTCCTGACTCCACTCACAAATCCTCTAACAAGCCCCGATGAGACTGCAGGGACTCCTTTCCTGAGCATCTAGTAACCCATGCAATAGAGACCATATGCTCAGCTTGCCAATTTTGTCTTCGGCTGACAGAAACTAATCACAACAGGGTTCCTCACTAGCTATCCACAAGTACTGTTACCATGTTATCAGAAACAGCAACAATGAATGCATTTTTCCCCCACTTACCATCCCCAACCCTAACCCTGTAATGAATGTATTTTTGCCAGTTCCCAACACCTTCTAGTTTTTCCTTAAATATCATTTGTAATGGATTAAATTGTGTCTACCAAAAATATGTGCCAAAATCCTAACCCCTATTCCTATAAACGGGAGCTCTGGTGGCATAGTGCCTAAGGCATCTGACTGCTAATCAGAAGGCTGGCGGTTCAAACCCACCAGCCACTCTTCATTAGGAAGATTGGGCAATCTACTTCTGAGATATTGCCTCAGAAACCCTAGGAGGGGTCTCTATGAGTCAAATCAACTGGAGAGCAGTGAGTTTGGCTCTTGGGGTATTTTTTTGGTAACTTATGACTATAACCCTATTTGAAAATAGGGGTTTTCTTTTGTTATGTTAATGAGATCACCCCAGAGCAGGGTGGGTCCTAAACCTAATCATTTCTAGGTGATGTCCTATAAAAAGAACAGAATGGATATAGAAACACATACACAGGAGAAAGACAAATGTGAAAGAGTGCCGAGTAACACTAGGGAAGCCCAGGGTTATGGACAAAAAAGGAACCTCCCTAGAGCAGTACCCTAATTGGACTTCTAGCCTCCAAAACTTTGAGACAATAAACCCCTGTTCTTTAAAGTTACTCACTTAAAATTTTTCTTATGGCAGCACTAAGTAACTTTTTTAAAACAGTAAAATTCTTGTCAGAACTAATAGCAATCAAATAACCAAGCTATTTAGAGGTTAACAAAAATAAACAATATAAACTACAATTTTTCTCTCTTATTAAATGTGAAGTAGAATTATTTCATATGCATTATCAGGATTCCCTGGGTGGTGCAAATGGTTAACGTAGTCTACTACTACTATCCAAAACGTTGATGGCTCAAACTCACACAGTGGCATATCAGAAGACAGACCTAGAGATATGCTTCTGAAAGGTCACAACCTTGAAAACTCTACAGAGTAATTCTAGCCTGTATGTATTGGTTTTCCATGAGTCAGAATCAACTTGACAGCAACAACAACAACATAAATTGGAACTCTATTCAGTCATTAAAAGTAACAATATAAAATATAGTTTTATAATACAGTATTTAAAAATAAACTAGCTATAAAATAATTAAAAAGCAATATGTATGATACACCACTTAAAAATATATTTATATACATGAAACTTACTTGTAATTGAATTGAAGTGTGCCGAAGACCTTCCACAATAGGAGAAAATCTGTCAATTTTTCTTTCTTCTCCAGATGATGTTAGAGCTTCTAAAACTTCTTCTAGGCTATAGGAAATTTTTAATCTATTAATTACATTACAAGTAGCAAATAACACAAATGCCATAATACAATTACTTGTTTCTACTAAAGGAGTAACTACACATAGGCAAAAAATAACATTTTAGAAGTAGCCTACCAAGCACAAAACATGTATAGAACTCTATCATATACATTTAATTCATTTAATCCTCACAACAATCCTACAAGGGTATTTAATTATTTATGCATTTATGCAGGCATACAACATACTCAAATTACTCCAATTACAACTACTCCAATTACGTTGCGAACAGTAACTTATTTTAATGTATATAACAACTCTAGGAGATAGGTACTATTATGATATCATATTATACATTAGGAAACTAAGGCAGGAAAACAAAATAAACATCTTGCCCACAGTTCTAACTACTAAATGGTATAAAGAGCAAGGGTTTGAAATCAGACAGTCTGTGTAGTGAACACTATAAAATTGCTATTAACCACAACACTCCACTGACCCTCAAATTTAAGTAAATAAAGTTATGGCAGCCAAAACCTAGTGAGATATTATAAATAGTCAAATATAAAATATAATAGTTACACAAAAATTCTATTTCTTCATCTATTAAAGAATAGCTGTGAACTATTCTGACAGTTCTTAATGCAAAATGTGTATTTTACAGATATTTGAGGGGGGTTACATGTTCTTTATTTTAGCAGGCTAAGTGGAAAAATGTATTATCCTATAAATAATCTTGAATAACTGCAATTCCTCCAGGGCGCTATTCTTCCAAATAACTCCTTATATATATGTATACACACACACACACACACATATATACATACATACATACATACATATACAAAATAGGACAGTATGGCTTAGAAAAGGACTGTGAAGTACCTAGCGTTCTGTAGTAGCACACTTTGTGGCCATAGGGCTTTAATTCTCAAAGTTATTTACATTATAAAAGAGACCTATTCTGAAGTCAAGAAATAATAAAAATAATATGGAGGAAGAGGAGGAAAATGAGAAAGAAGATAAAGTAAGAGAAGAGAAAGAAGAGGAAGGAAGAATAGGGGAAAGGAAGAGTGAAGGGAAGGAAAAGAGAAGGGAGGAATGTAGACAAACAGGAGAGAGAAGATGAGGGGAAAAGAAGGAAAGAAAAAGAGAGAGAGGGAATGGAGAAGGAGAAAGGGAGACAAGAGCATACAGTGTATCCTATGTATCAGCATTAAATTCACTCTTGCATTTCTCACCAAAATTATTATGTATGGCTTTTTTAAAATGAGAAAGGTAAGGTGTTGAAACCGTGCAACTGGCTTTGCATGCTCAAAAATGTAGCTGAGTATAACTAACCCTCTTCCATGAATACACACTATAGGTATGTATCTATAAGTACATATCAGGCCTGAGTGTAGTCCATGACTCTCAGACTTAGCACTTCAACCCTCACCACTTCTGGCAGGATGACAACAAGGCTGATTTTCAAATTTACATAAGACATTCCATTTACAGAGTTCTACCCACCCTTCTATGATATGAATATATCGATATTCTTTTAGTTGTATAGTTTTTATATTTTTATAAGGTCCTTGAGTGGCACAGTAGTTTACAATCAGTTATTAATCTAAAGGTTGGTGATTCGAGCCTACCCAGTGGTATCACAAAAGGAAGGCCTGGCAATCTACGTCTATGGAGAAGATCTACTCTGTAACAGATGGGGTTACCATGAGTCAGAATCAATGGGACAGCAGCAAGTTTATCCTTTAAAAAAGGAATATTTAAATAATTTTTAAACATTTCCTTGCAGTTAAAATATAAATCCTTTTTAAAAATTAAAAAGGTTTGCTCTATAATTATCCTTTAGTATGCAGCGTAAATCAACTTTTTTGAGGGCAGTGTTGCGTGTTACAGGAGCAGGGAGGCTGCATCTTCTGACCTCCTCTAACTTCACAAGAGGAAGACAGAACCATCAGCAGCAGCCTGTTCCTATGAGTCCAGACACATCGCCAGCCTCCAAGCCCTCTTATAACCTTGACACCAGCCATCCCTCCCACAGCACCCACCACCTCTCTGCTGAGTTCAATAATTCGCCGCAGTAGCCACACAGAACTCACAGATTATAAGGTTTATTAGGGAAGCAACAGGCTACAATTCAAGATCAGGAACACATTCAGTGTCTCTCAGTAGCACGTCTCTCTCTCGGCAGTGTGTCTCTCTCATGTCTCTCAGCAAGCGCATCTCTCTCAGCCGTCAGTCAAAGAGATTCCTTCTGCCTCTAGGAGGGCTCATTTTGAGCCTGGCAGACTGGCAAAACCAACCAATCACAACATGAGAATTCTACACACCTGAGAGTGAGCCAACTTCCCTAGAAAATTATTTTGTGCTGCCCCAGGTGGATGACTTTAACAAACAACTACTCAGTTGCTCACAGCAAAGTAGGAGTTGTAAGGACTGTGGCTAGAAAGGTCATAGCATGTAATTTACTACACTGCAGGGGATCAATGGTAGAGTTCTTGCCTTCCATGCAGGAGATCTGGGTTTGATTCTCAGCCAACACACCTTTGTCAGAGGCGCAGCTACCACACATTTGTCAGAGGAGGCTTGTATGTTGCTATGATACCAAATAGGTTTCAATGGAGCTTCCAGAATAAGACAACTATGAAGAAAGGCCTGCTGATCTACACCTAAAAATCAATTAGTGAAAATTCTTGTCTGATGAAATGCAGTGGTCCAATTCCATCATGCGTGGAGTTACATTAGTCAGAGCCAGACACAATAGCAGCTAGCAACAACAACAGCTAGCAACAACAACAATGGTCTTTTAGTTACATCCCTAACAAATGTGGTCCATATCTTTAAAGTTTAAAGCTCTGGTATGTGCTTTATAGTCAAGGACTATGTATCCACAACCAGTAAAAGTACTATTACATAGAGCACTTTGAAAATCTGCCTTATATATAGCTTTTCAAATAGTATGAAGTTTGCTTATACAATGGGATAGAACTAGCCTATAATTTGAATTAACTCTATCTGCAAAACACACACACACACACACACACACACACACGTTAAAAATACATAACCTGTCTGTATATTTTTCAAAGCCTTCATTTAAAATTTAAGGTTTGAATACAACACAATTTAAAATCAACATGATGAAGAAATCAGTTTTTCACAGAAATATTTGAGCCTATACTACTGTACTAATTAAAAGTAAGAATTATTATTCAAACATCTCTGTTCTATTAAGAATCTAAATCTACTGCTAAAATATACTTTAAAATTTACTTAAGGCAAGTTCTAATCTAGAATAGATAACAAAAATGTTAATAGAATCATAGTGTACTGAATTATTACTTAGTTAGAGAAATAAATCGAGAATACTTACATGCTTTCCTCTCCTACAATGCATATTGCAGAGAGCAGTTTAACCACATCTGTCATCATAACAGGATGCTCAGGATCAATAGTTTTGGCCAATAAGGTAAGACTCCTCTCTTCACTCATAATTCTTTCCAAGCCATACTATAAAATTTTGGAAATAAGAGGTTAAATGTTAGGAGTTATAAAAATAGTGCCCTGAAGGAAATGTAGTTAGCAAGGAATACTTAAAGGATAATACATTTTTTCTTTTATCATAACCCCCCACAACATGACTGAAAAGTGGCCAAGTGGAAAAAGGGAGCGACAGTGAAAAATATTTGCCAACAACAACCTACAAAACAGAAATTAGACTAGACACTAAAGCCATGAAGATCTTCTTCCCAGAACGGGAAGCTGGTAACAGATCTACTACCACAAGTAAATGCCTTGATACGCAGCCTGTAGGTTTAATTTTAAATTTCTAAGCAACAGGATTCAAATGACCCCTCCTTGGATTTTGGAAGCAGTATCTCTATGGAAGTAGCTTGCCCAATCTTCCTTCCAAGGAGTGGCTGGTGGGTTCGAACCACCAGCCTTCTAGTTAATAGTTACATGCCTTAGGCACTACACCACCAATCTACTTCTGTAGCGATACTGCCTCGGAAACCCAAGGAGGGGTCGCTATGAGTCAGGTCCAACTCGATGGCACATAACAACAACAACAACAAGAAAATTTAATTAATTTTAAAAATTAAATTAATCCAATGTATCCAACATATGACCACTTCAACATAATGGTTCAAAATGTTTTATGTGATCAATGTAAAACATTTATTGATATTTACATCCTTTCTTCCCAAGTACTCAGAATCTAGTATGTATTTTACACCTATTATACAATAATTCCAAATAGTTACATTTCAAGAGCTCAACAGCCACTTTAGACATCTCATAACATATAGTGCCAGCCTAGATATTAGCACTTAATTCATAAATGTGTAAAATGTGAAGGAAAAATTAAGGAAATACCACATAGAAATGGCCATAATGAATACATGTATTCTGGTCAGAATAAGGGAGCTCTGGGCGTAGTGTCACCAGAAGGAAGATTGGGCAATCTACTTACATACAGATACTGCCTCAGAGACCTAAGGAAGGGTCGCTAAGAGTCAGAAATGACTCGACGACAGTGAGTTTGGTTTTGGTTTAGTTAGAATAAAATTTTATCATCTGGAGGATAATATAATCATATACATATTATATAAGTGTAACAATTTTAGATAAAATTTTGGATACTGTCAGGATATTACATCCAATGAAAAGATAAGGAATTACATTAATGAGATAGTGATTTGATTTAAAGATGTATATATTTCCTACGGACCTCTTACAATCTATGGAAGATATGTATCAAATAAGATGAACAGAAAAAATAAAATAATACTAGTTATCAATCATGAATCCAGAAGACCCTATTTAAGAGTAAGAAAATGGTCAATCTTATAAGAGTTACTTCCAAGCACTATAAAATGTTTTAATCCCAATTGCAGACCTAAGGACTCTAGCTTAAAATCAGTACTAGATATAAGTATCAAAATTGAATCTATGACAAGCCAAGACCAAAATGCATTGAGTGTTAAGAAATCTCATTTATAATTTACCTACCTTGTGCATGACATTTATGTGAAGAAGTCAACACAGTACAGTTAAATATTGCATTTGCTATAAATCACTACCTAAGGAACACAGCCAGCCAAACAATGGAGAAGTATACACAGAAGGGCCAAGGATCCCAGGAAATGATTTTTGGAGAGAATTCTGCCTTTTTGGCAACATGGAAAAGTTTATAAACAGACAGCTAACCCAGGCAGAAAATGTTCACTTTTGAGATGCCCTGGGCTGTTTTATAACTGGAACCAAAGAATGAAAAAGCAGACATAGGGCAAGAGACCATAATATATCTTGATAAATCTTTCCAGGGAATTTTCAGTGGCTTATAAAGTATACTTAGATCCAATTCAAAATGCCAATCAATCAATGCCTACCAAATACCAAGGGGCTGACTCTGCTCTAAGAGAGCTGAGAACTGATTAAGCCTGTCTCCAACATTTTCTTTTCATTTCCCACCATATGGATGTCCTTAGCAATGCCTGCCCTTCTGGAATCAGAATCCTGTGGCTCCTCCAGCCATTGGAGACAACTCATACTTATTCCCTCCCAAATGACGCTGCCTACCTTCTCTGTCAAATCCTCCAGTTACAAACCATCATGCGTGAAGGGTAGAATATGAGCATTCTCTGATTTCATGGTTTTGACTGCTATCCAGTGACCCCCCAAAAAATCTATCACAGACAATATTCTCTAATTTTCCTAATGTATAAATGTGTAATGCTTGATTAACCCAGATTACCACTACTTAGCATCTGTTAACAGAAGACAGAATTGCTACCTACTTGTATGATATAACTCTCCATCAGTTATTTAAAACCCAAGGCAAAACAAACAAAAGTCTCTGGCTCTTTATGAGGAGTAGCTAACTTACCAGTGCTGACATTAACATTCATTAAATGAAGGATACTATAAGTTAGAGAGGTGGTAACAAATATGGGAAGGTCTAAGGATGAATCTCTCTGAAATAACAATCATCCAGTCTAGTTAATATGATAATTTATCTGTTCTAAACAGAAGCCCAGTGCCAGGTTACATTTACATTCTACATGAGGCCTATTATTACCTAATAAATGGAATTTCAGGCTCTTGAAAATGATGTTTTAGGCAAAGGAAGGATAATTTCCTAAATCACTGTGTATCATGCACAACATCTGAGCCCACACTACAGAAATAACAGAGTTGAGTAATTACTCATAGTAAGCTAAATCCAATAGCAGAGACATTGTGGGAAGTGGGCAAATATTTTAAAACAACAAACAAAAACTTAATTGACAAAAGGAAGTTTCGGTTCTCATTACCTTCTAATTAAAGTAGACTTACTTTTCATTCTTTTTCTCTCTTCTAAGTCTTCCAAATCTCCCATTTAGAAGTACTATTTAGGAGCTCTGGTAGCATAGTGCCTAAAGCACCTGACTGCTAACCAGAAGGACGGCAGATCAGACCCACCAGGCACTCCCCAGAAGAAAGATGGAACAATCTACTTCCATAGTGATCCCTTCTTGGAAACCCAAGGTGGGATCACTACAAGTCGGGTCTGACTCGACAGCACATAACAACAACAACATTTAAGACAATTAGTGCCTAGGGTATTTGACTGCTAACCAGAAAACTGGTGGTTCAAATCCACAAGCCACTCCATGGAAGGAAGACTGGGCAATCACTTCCATAAAGATTTACTACCTCAGAAACCCAAAAGGGTCGCTATGAGTCAGAATCAACTTGATGGCAGTGACTTTGATTTTTTGTTGTTGTTGTTTTGTTTTTCTTTTAGGACAATCAAGTCTTATAAGAAATTAATTTTCTATGATGTTATCAAATTTGCTGACTTTATTAATGGCATAATTAATCATTGGTACCAAACAAGAAACTACAGTTATTTTTTCCCTCTTAAAATCCTTTTATTTTTTTTGCACAGGAATATTGATAGAGCACTATTCACAATAGTCAAAATGTGGGAATAATCCAATTGTTCATCAGCTGACAAATACATTAACAAAACGTAGTGTATCTATAAAATGGAATATTATTTAGCGATAAAAAGTAATGAAGTACTGATACATGCTACAACTTAGATGAACCTCAAAAACATACTAAGTGAAAGTGAAACCCATTTTCCACTAAGGTGGCATAATGAAATTTAACAAATTTTATACTTGCTTATACATTTGATCAAATAAAGTTTAGGAATAGCAGTCTTGGAGAAGAAAGCTTTACCAAAAATGTCACACGTCATTAAGTGTAGGGTTCTTTTAGATATTATAATTTTATAATGATAATAACTATAATTTGTATCATTTTAAGTATCATTGGAAGTCCTTCGTGGTGTTAAAGGTTAATGGGCTCATGAAAAGTTAGAAGTTTAAGTCTATCCAGAAGTGTCTCAGGAAGAAAGGCTTGGCAATCTACTTCTAAAAAACAACCATTGAAAATCCTATGGAGTGCTCATGGTTCAGAAGACTTAACATTCTGAAAATGGTGATGCTGCCCAAAGCAATGGACAGGCATAATTCAACCCCAATCCCGTTTCCATAATCATTGTTTAAAGAGATTGAAAAACTAACCATCAATTTTATATAGAAAGGAAAGAGACCCTAAACAAGAGAAGTACTGCTAAAGAAGAAAAAACAATAGGAAGCCTTAGACTCCTTGATCTCAAAACTTACTATATATCCACAGTATTGGTAGAAACAGCCTGGTATTGTTACAATGACAAACACATAAACCAACGGAACAGCATTGAGAATCCAGAAGTAAACCTATCCACCCAAGAACAGCTGATCTTTGACAAAGGGCCACAACACATTAAATAGGGAAAAGATAGCTTGTTTAACAAATGGTGCTAGCAAAACTGAACCACCACTTGTAGAAAAAATGAAACAGGATCCATATACCTCAACATATACAAAAATTTAAGATGGATCAAAGATCTAAAGATAAAACCTAGAACTATAAAGATCATCAAAGAAGAAATAGAAGCGAATTTAGGGGCCCTAATAAATGGCATAAATACAATATCAAACATAACTAAAAATGTACAAACAGCAGAAGACAAACTAGACAACTGGGATATCCAAAGAATGAAATATTTATGTGCATCAGAAGACTTCACCAAAAAACTAAAAAGAAAACCTACAAAGAGTGGGAAAAAAATGGCAATGACATAATGGGCAAGAGATTAATGCCTAAGGTTTATAGAAAACTCAACACCTCAACAAAAAAAAAAAGACAAACAATCTTATTAAAATAACCTGAGGACATGAACAAAAAGAAACGTTCTTTGAAGGTTATCAAGGATGGGAGAGGAAGGCAGGGTAAATCACTAACCAGAGAGGAGACACAGATTGACTTGGATTAAAGGAAAGGCAATATACAGTAAGGAGGAGGACAGCACAAAATGATCGAGGCAAAGGAAGACACTGGAAGGAACAGTCAAAAGCAACAAAGGTAAATATGATTACATACACAATCCTGCAATAATAGTAATAATGATA